ACTTTCCATCCACTTAAACATTCCTACTGCAGTATACTGCTCTGGGCAAACTTTATTTTTAGTGAATGAGACCTACACACAAGAGGCCACTTGGCAGACTTAGGGGACAATGGGGGATAGTATTAAAATGCATCTTCTAGAAACGGACTGAAGAATGTGAAATGGAATCTGCTGGCAGGGCTCAACGGCGCGAGTTCTTGTGAATACTAAAATGAATCATCAGGTGATGACTTCCTAACTGAGCAACTATCGACTTCTCAAAAAGGAATCTGTTCTATGGAGATATTTTTCCTCAAAGACGCATATTAAATTGTCCAATGTCCTAATGCCTATAACAAATGTAGTTAGATTTTCTATTACTTTCCAAAAACAGCAATGAGTCAGAAGCTTCTAAGACCGAGTACTCTCTGGTGTATCCAATGCCACCCAGTACAACTTAACAGTGAACTTTATGAACATCCTCCGAATCAGTTCAGGAATAGTAAAATTGCTATCATGGCAAATTACAAATGAAACCCAATTTACTAAGACTAAACATGAACAATTATCACAACTTCTAAAGTTTCTAAAATTGCTGAGATTATGGAAGTCATTTTCATAAGTTTGATTTCTATCGTTTCAGCCATTTAATTTAAAAGTAACTGCATTATTCGTGAGTGATTGCCACAATTAATATAAAACTGATTTTTTTCCTTTTATTCTGCATTTTCATTATCTTCTTCTTCTTCTTATCCCTTTTCTTATTCCACTATTCAAATTCTTTTATTTCCCATTTTCCTTCACTTCATTTGCCCTCAACCTCCTCCTCTTCTACGTGTCACCCCCTGAGGTGTTACTTGTGTTTCCAGCAGGTCAGTAATATCAAGCCAGTTCAGAGAGTACGCCCGTTCCTTAACCCGTTCTATTTTCTCTGAAGTTCCTATAATAAAAAATCATAATAGAGCTATACACATAATTCTGAGAAGGTTCTTGATACACTAAATTTATTCAGATGTCACGGACAGAAGGACACTGCCCCGCCCAATTATAGCAGGCTCCATCGAGGGCTTGCATACGATATAAAGCACAGAGCATGGAATTTGGGTGTACGGAGCGGACAGCGAATTCACAATTAAACCAATCAATCAATGACTAATTAGATTAGTGAAGTGAAAGATGAACGAAGAGATGATTAAATGGCCGGCTGAATAAACTGGGTGGTCGATAATAAATTAAAGAATGATTAGAAGAATACATGTAGGCTTAATGCATGAACGTTCAGATGAGTGAATTATACATGAATGAAAAAGCAGATAGATGAGTGTCTTTATTGATAAATGAACTAATAAATGTCAAAAAGAGATTGAATAAATCATGGACGGACTACTATAAATGTCTACATTGCTATAAAGCTAATTTAATATATGCTAGTTGTCCTTAAAAACTCTGTGATATTAATTATCTTAGTAATCAGTCAATTACGCTTAAAATACGTTGCTTGTAATCTAGTATAAATATTTACACTGCGCTAGGCTGCAGTAATGAATTCTGCATTATAAATAGCATGACTCAAGAAAATTTCTGAGCTTCTCTTTGAATTGGAGGAAATGAACGTGGAAAGATAAGTAAGTCTGTCCTGCCAAGGCGCAACCCGTCGTCGCTCTTAATTGTCAAGAGACACGTCGCTAATTTATCGACAACAATTATCTGGAAACGAGCAGAAAGTAGACAGAGACATCTAGAGACACAATCAACAGGAACTCTTATCGGCACACAACAATTTTTCTGCTTTTTCAAGAGGAAGAAACAGTTGCCGGATCCTGAATTGGAAAAATTACGTTTAGTAAAATGGAAGCATAAAAAAAAGGGAAATACATGAAAATGTCAAAGTTACAAGATGGAAAAACAGTAGCGTACAAATAAACTGTCAAGCGATAAATAGGCCTTTAGAAACAGGGCAAAGATATATGAAGTTCATAGCGAGAGACTACTCAAGCAAAGCGTTCATCAGGAAATAAGGATCTACAAACGTTAAAACGTGTAATAAAGGAAGTCCTTATAGCGAACATGTTCTTTTAAATGCTTCCATCCACAAAGACAAATGTATTCTAGCTTGTACGGCTAATGTTTTGCAATATATTTTGAAAATTTTATAAAACTGCACACAACAGGGAACACGCATACAAAAAATGTTATTCTTCGTTAAACGTACATGATAATTTTATAAATTATCTTAAGAATTAATATATACCACAATATATAACTTTTATATATTGCGGTACATATATTTCTTAAGAAAATTTATCACGTTGGATTTTATAGACCTACACATTTAATGTAGTATTGCCGTAATAGAGAATTTCATCAGAATCCATTCGGGTAG